TTAGATCTTTATATCCTTTCATATTTTTAATCATCTCAGCAGAAATCTCAGCAGGTTAATCTGTTTTCACAGTGCAAATGAGCAAACGGCCAAAGCAAGTGGTACCAAGGTACTCACTGTGGATGGAGCTTGTACAGAGTCCCATCAACTCCAACAGTGATCTGCAGGTGCTCCACACCTTGGTTCTCTCTCTTCTTCTCCACAACAGCTGCCAGCCCTGCCCCGCAGAGCTGTGCCGCTCTCCTCGAGACAACTCCACACACCTCTTTCACAATGATGCTGTCGTCACACTTGCTGTCCAGGCCAAGCTGCCGCAGGATTTGCCGCACTTGGAGGAGGGCGAGCCGGTCACTGCGCAGAGCGGGGAACACGCACAGCAGGGCGTTAGGGAGTCCTAGAGCTGAGCCCAAGGTGATTCAAAGGGAGGGGGCCCACTTCACACACAACACTCTGAGTCTTTTCAGGCCCGTTTCAGACTGGATTCAGGTGGCAAGCTTGCTCCTTAGCATGCCCTTTGCCATGTCAGGGTGTATTGCCAGAAAGCACAGCCAGTAGTGATCCATCTAACTCCCAAAGCCGTGAGAGAGCTGAGCCAGATCAGCCACCAGACTGTGTTTTTTTTGACCTCAAAGCTCAGACTCTACTTTCAAGGCTTTCCACAACAGGGAGTGTTTCAAATAGCCTGAAGACCATGGCAATCATGCACAGATACATAGGTAAGTACACACTCATCTATCACCAACTTTTTACTTGTTTTTTAGTAAGTCCCACAAGAAACACTCCAAGACTAATCATGCTTGATGGTTAAGACATCCGAGATAATCCAGTTATGTAGGTAGGAGATGATAATTCATATAACTACAGAATAATTCTGGAATTCCCCCCATTCCTCATCTTTGGCCTTTCTTCTGAGGATGGGGAAGTGCACAAAGAGGAAAGCTCTAACTGAATTCATCAACCTCTTGAAGGAGAGGGCTCCATACACTTGCAGAAGACTGTTTTCTAAGGGCCCCCGAAGACCCTAAGGACTTAAACCATGTAAGTCTAACAACTTTACCTCTCAATCTGAGACAGGAATTTTGTTTCAAATATGCCTCTTTTCCTGAGTGATTCTGAAATGTGTCCTCTGAACAGCAGCCCTTGTTTGGTCAAGTCGATCAAAATTTGCCTTACTATTTCCCCTAGGTACATTCCACTGGTCATTTTTTCATACCTGTTAGGTTATAAAAGGACAAGAACGTGCCTTTAAAGAGAAGCCATGTTAGCTCTGTTTAGCATGACTGATATGCACACGACCTGTGAACTCCCAAAAACCAGCCCAAGCTTGCAGAGCAGTAGCCATTGAACTCCATCTCCTGAATATCCAAAATCTGTTGAGGTGACTTCAAGTGCAAACACTAATTACAATATATTTACTTGTGCCAAATGGTAACGCAAGTAGAAAAAAATTGCAATATTTAACAGAACAGTGTTAGAGCCCAGACTGAAGTGAAACATTCCCCTGTCCCCCCGTGCATTCAGCAGTGATCACTCCTAATCAATGCTGTCTTTAAACAAAGAACAGCCAAGTTCAACTCATCCTCTCGCTCGAGTTGTATTTTACCTCTGAAAATCCACCCTAAGAGGATGAACAAAACACAGCCCACACATTGCAGGGAAATCTTAAAAGCTGCACTGTTTGGTACCTGTCCTAAGGTGTGAACAGTCCTGTGCCAACAGGAATAATGTACAACTTTGGTTTTTCTCCTGACATCCAAGTTACTTTACAACAAAACACATGCAATATTAAAAGTTCCTCTCTGACTATTCATTCATTAAGCCTATTTTAAAAAGCAGCCAGTGCTTCTTGAAGACTGACTTCATCAGGCTCTTGGCATCAGCACCATCACGTTTACCTCTGTTTCCCTGGGTTTAGTGAGCCTTCATCCACTTCCTTATCATACTTAGTCCTGATGTTGTCAATGCAGCCATTGTCACCAAATGCTCCCCATTCGGTATTAATGCACATTTTTCCTTCATTCCCTTCCACTATTTCTATGTTTTTCATGTCCTCCATGTAGCACACGTTGCTGCCTGTTCCTAAAAGGGAAGAAATGACAAGGTTTCAGCCAGAAAAGGGAAGTAGCACCTGAAATTTATGGAAAATGATTGCAGCAATCATCTCAAAGTTCTCTTTGCCATATCCAAACTTCAGGTATTTCTCCATGTCTTACAGAAGTGAGTGTTGCCCAGTAATGCTAAGAGTGCTATAAGTCATTACCAAGCCAAATGGGTCCCGAGCAGAAAATCCCCAGCACAGAGGAATGAAGAGTCTTACAAGTCAGAAATGGCTTTGGCCATCACTGCAAGCACTGATGAGTCACTGCTGCCCGTGTGGTCGTAATACATCACAAAACATCCCGCAAGGCAGTGTGCTCCCCAGCAGAAACTGACAGGAGCCTGGCAGCAGTCAGCAGTTTCCAAGCCTGAAATAATGCGGTGGATAGGACCTCATCACTCACAACATGAGTTACAGTAACTGATACAAGGACCAGTTCTCCAAGTGAAATGAGTGCACTTAGCCAGACAGAAGTGCTTATATTCCAACTGGGGCTTCAGACCTTACAGTCTCTCCTACAAAGGCTGAGAGGGCTGGGCTCGTTCAGCCTGGAGCAGACAAGGCTCCAGGAAGACCTCGCTGTGACCTTCCAGTAATTAAAGGGAGCTTTATAAAAGAGAGGAAGATAGCGATAGGACACGGGGAAACCATTTTAAACTGAAAGACAAGAGATTTAGATAAGATGTTAGGAAGAAATTCTTTACTGTGAGGGTAGTGACTGGCACAGGTTGCCCAGAGAAGCTGTGGCTGCTCCATCCCTGGAAGTGTTCCAGGCCAGGTTGGATGGGGCTTGGGGCAACCTGGGCTGCTGGAAGGTGTCCCTGCCCATGGCAGGTGGGTTGGAAATAGATGAGATTTAAGGTCTGTCCAACCCAAACCATTCTGTGATTCTATGCTTAGATGTATTTCTCGATCAAAACTCAGAGGTATAATCTAGAAAGTCTAAAGAGAATGAATTCAGATTTTTAAAAATACCTGCATTTCCAAGGTCTGTGACCTGGTTGCACAGTGAATATGGATACACTTGTCAAAGCAAGGATTCATGCTCTGCCTGCTGTTCTCATCCTTTGACCATACATCACTTGTTCGGCACCATTGCAGAATCACTGCATGGGCAAGGCTGGAAGGCACCACAGTGGGTCATCTGGTCCCACATCCCACTCAAGCAGAGTCATTTCCAGAGCACACTGCAGAGAATTGCATCTAGACAGCTCAGGAATATCACCAGTGAGGGAGACTCCACACGCTCTCTGGGCTACCTGTTGCAGTGCTTGGTCACCCACACAGTAAGGAATTTCTTCCTCATATTCAGGTGGGCCTGTCCATCTACTTCAACCCACTGCATCTTGTCCAAGTGGTCAGCACCACCAGGAAACACCTGGCTCCATGCTCTCAACACAGAGTCGGGATCCTTGTTGAATCTGCCAAGAACCCCAAGCCACGAGTAACACCATACACCAAACTCAAATAAAAGGATGCTGGTTTACAAATCCCAAATCCTAGCAGACATGCTTTCTTCTCAGCATGGTCACCGTACCCGCGATAAGGCCAATCTCACAGTTTGGATCCTCGTATCCACATGTCATCATGGTCCCAACAGTGTCATTCACCACTGCTACAATGTCCAAGTCAAACTCCTAAAACACAAGCCACAGTCAGTAGTGGGTCCCAGAGGAAGGGGGAGGGTGCAATAAATACACCAAGAAGAGCAGAAAAGCAAAGCTCACATTTCTTCTCCTGATGGCCTCTCTCAACATATCAACAACATCTTCCCCCTCACAGCCTGTTGCCTTGAATCCTTTTGTCCATCCCACAAGTGTTCCCTGAAATAGAAGAGCAAGGAAATCCTTAGTGAAGAGAGAGTGCACACTGTATGTTCAAGCATCAGTCCCTCCTTGCCTCCAGCCTCACCCCAGTTTTGGGTGTTTCTAACAATGTGTTTCCCTGGACAGATTACTAGGAGTGTCTAGTGCAGTGTGTGCACGTGTGTCTTTGTCCCTCAGCTGCTGGTGGTAGTGACTCCAGGTTTACTCAGCTACTTATCAAGGCTCTGCCAACCCAGTGCCTTCTACATCTCTTCTGGAAAAACGTCATCTCACCTCCTGTGCACATACACATTGTATTAGCTGTGAGGGAAAGATTGCAAAAACACTTTTGCTGCAAAAAATTAAACACTCAACAAACATTAATGAACATCCACTGTTAATTTTTGCTGATTTACTGAAGGACACTTGGTATGATCACATAACTCTAGGCAACACTAATTTGTTTCTTTTCAGACAGCAATCAGGACTGACAGAAGTCAATTTCCAGGTTACATGAAGTTATTAGCCTTCCACTTGGTAACAAAATAGAGAGAAAGTGGGAGAAAAAGATACCCTGAAAAAACACCCTCAAGTTCTGGCAACAGTAGAAGACCAAACACACAGGGGAACATACCCTGACACAGATGTGCCTCCCTCAGTTTGCCACCAATACTGTGAGATTTGTTTCCTCATCATTTGTCAGCCCTAAACACTGTGCTGTAGGTTTGGGAGGCATATTGAGTCATCTCTGCACGAAAGGCCAAGTCCTATTGCTATAGTCTCCACTGTGAGCTGAAAATTGAGACACAGCAGACTAGTTTCCAGGCTTAGAGGCTGTTGTGAAACCCACCAGAACATACAAACATGCAATAACATGCAAAGTCTATTTTCCCAGTAGCTTACATATTTGGCTAGAACTAAGCGGCACAACCTCCCCTGCCCCTCTCTGGAAACACACCAAAATAATCTTTTCCTACATTGGATCTGGAAAGAACAAGATATGATATCGGTCCAAAAGCCAACAAGCAAGCTCAGGTCTGCCCACTGACACTTGACAAAAGGAAACTGAAGCAGTGCAGATGTTAGACAGCCAGAACTGTGCAGCACAGTTACAAAAACACCCTGGGACTGCAGCTGAGCAAGCAGAAGACATCTGCTATCTCCTGCCATTGAAGAGCTAAGGCAGCTAAGAGGCACCTGGGTTATTCATATGCAGTCATTTCACTATCATAAGGGCTTAGACTTTATAGAATGAAAGCAAGTAACATCACCTCTTATCAGAGAGGTGAAAGTTCTACCTTCCATATCCACATAGGATAGGACGCAACACAACTAATTTGCACATTTTCCAAACCAACAAGTCACCCTTGCCCAAAAGGATGCCATGTACCAGCAGATGCACAGCTGACATCTGGCCCATTCCATGTGGCAGTTCTCACCTTGTCAATGCTGGCTTGCCTGCACGGGAAGGAGAAGGTGAATCCCAGAGGCAGCCGAGCGCCTTTAATCCCCATATAGTCCAGAAAGTTTGCTATGCACTGGACAATATGGTCAAAGAGCTGGAAGGAAAGAAGAAGTATCTAAATCACACAAGTAATCCTATACAACGGGCCTTGGCTGGATCAGTCAAACATCCATTAGAGATTACCTCTTCTCCTGTCCCTTGCATGATCTCCAAAGGAATGGCAAAGATTTTGTTATACATTTGCACTGATCTTCTTCTCCCACTTCTGATTTTGACCAGCAGAACCCTGAAATTTGTGCCACCAAGATCAAGGGCAAGGAACTTTCCTTTCTCTGTCGGAGAAAAAAGGTATTTAACTTTGGTGGTTTCCGTAGCACGTTTGTCAGCCAGAATGGCATACTCTGCCACACACGCGCAGGAAACTTCACCCACACCAACGGCAGCAGGCTGCTGCCCATGGCATTCATCCCATCAAGTCTCCTAGCATGGAGCTGAAGGACCAGCCAGATAAGATCACAGGAAGCACTGGTTTGACAACATAAATCCCTCTGGCATTTTCCAGATTAACTGCCATATTCCCTCCCCCCAGAAAACAAACAAGTGACTTTCCTGAACACCCTCAGGTGGTCAGGAAATGACTTAACCTGTTCCATCTGGTGTCCCACAGACATACGTGGGCAGCATCTTCACTGTGGCATTGGCTTGCGTCTCTCGCTTCAGCCCATATTCCAGCTCAGTCCTCATTTTGTCCTTCACTTCCCTGAGGGTCTTGAGGGACAGCAGGAAGGGGGCAAGAGTGGCATCGATTTGCTTGCGTTGGGTGACCAGCCTGTGTGCCACCGCAGTGACCATGGCAGCTCCCTTTCCACTGCCGCTCACAGAGAGCAGGAACCGCACGTCACAGTTGGGCACCAGCCGTCGCACCACCTTGTGCAGGCGTTTGGCATATCTGTCAGGAGCACAATGTCTTAGACTCCCACAGGCATTTTGAGCATGGATTTCTCCACATCCACACCCAACAGCACCAGGGCTGAAGCACAGCCAAGAGGAGTGAAAAGGTTAGAAACTGGTCTGGGAAATCATAGAATCAACCAGGTTGGAAGAGACATCCATGATTATCGAGTCCAACCCTACCGTCATTATTTGACCATGACACTAAATGACACATCCAGTCTCATCTTGACAACCTCCAGGGACCGTGAATCCACCACCTCCCTGGGCAGCACATTCCAATGCCTGAGCACCCTCTCTGTAAAAAATCTCTTCCTAATATCCAACCTAAACCTCCCCTGGCAGAGCTTAAGTCTACTTAAGTCTTGTCCTGCTGCTGGTTGCCTGGGAGAAGAGACCAACCCCCACCTGACTCCAACCTCCTGTCAGGGAGTTGCAGAGGGCGATAAGGTCCCCCCTGAGCCTCCTCTTCTCCAGGCTAAACAACTCCAACTCCCTCAGCCTCTCCTCATAGGACTTGTGCTTGAGTCCCTTCACCAGCCTCATCTGGACCTGCTCCAGCACTTCAATATCCTTCCTGAACTGAGAGGCCCAGAATGGGCCAAGGACCCTGACTTCTGGCTGTTCTGCAGAACCGGTTGCTTACACAAATGCAAAGACACCTGTAATTAAGTGTCAGTGCCAAGGGATAGGGACACTGGAGAGCAGCCAGGCAACAGTGAAGAGTTACAACCACAGAGGGTGAGAGTCTCCATCTGGAATCAAATCTCCATCCATTTTGGGAGAAATGTTTGGGAAAGTTTCCAGTTTGGGAAAGCATAGGTTCAAAAACAAGGAGGCAGTGTGGGGAGAAAAAAAGAAAATTAAAAACCCACAGTGAACTCTAAGTGCTGTGGAGGTCCAGAAGTCACCTGAGAAATCAGTTGCACTCCCCCAGACACCATTATTCTAGGTGTCATGTTTTTCCCACCCCATCCCAAATTCCAGTGCTCCTGAGACAACTTTGCAATAACTGAGCCAGTCTGATCTCACCTGAAACCTGCAGCAAGACCAGCGTTTCTCTGAAACACGCATGCAGGTGGAGACTCTTTGCAACATCAACATGTGGCCATGAATCCCCTTTAGCTACTTACTGTGGGTGGGTTTTATAGAGTCCCCCATCTATCCCAACCGTGGTTCGCATCCGTAAGAGCTTTTTGTTCTCCCTCAGCCGGGTCAGTATGGCTGCCAGGGCAGCAGCACAGAGGTTGGCCGAGCGGAAGGAAACGATGGTGCAGACGTGCTGAACAGCAATGCAATCCTCTTCAGAGGGAAACAGGCTCAGTTCCGTAAGGATCTCTTTTGCGTTGCTCAGGCCTTCCTTGTACCTACCCCAAAACAATACGTCATCGGATGCAAGGATGTTAGGTCAACACACACATCAACACCTGCATGTTGGCTCCAAAAGGAATGAGAGAGGACCAGGACACAACCTCTCAGGCAGCAGCATAATTGGTTCCCATGTACCAGCAATGGCTTTCCCACAGTATTCCCAAAAGAATCCAGGGGAGAGACCAGACTTTTAAGAGGCTGCTTCCTGGGGTTCAGCTTTTGGTGAGACTTACCAATTAGCTAGTCAAGAAGAGAATGGGATAAAATAGCCCACAGAAGGGGAGCACAGGAATGGATGCACAGCTTCACACAGCACAACAAAGAAAATTGCTTCCAGAGTGACAATAAGGGCCAGGATTCCGCTTCATAATACCAGAATCCAACAGTGTTCCATGTAGTCATCCATTAGCTGATCCAGAATCTGTACTATCTCCACAACCCCCAGTATTCCCATACCAGAAGAGCCAAAAACTGCTATAACCATCCCATGTTCTCAGGTCTCCAAAGAGGCTGTTTTAAAACCCTGCATCTGTGACTGTTAGCAAAACATTTGCTCCTGTGGTACTTTGCTAAAACTTTGTCTTACACCAATTCCCACTTACAGAAAGGTTACCTTTTCCTCTAGACAAAAGCAAAACAGTCGAACAGTTCAGGACTGTTCCCAACACTCACAGATTGTACTTGCACACTCATTGTCATTGCTGTGTTTGTGAGAGACTAACAACCACTCTCCAAGAGCATACTGCACGTTCTTACTTCTCCATTGCAGACACGTGTTTCATTTCGATCTTGCCCTTGGTAAGCAGAGCTGTTGACACTTTCCCATTGAAGAGCAGACCTTCCTTTGCCATTTTTAGGAGAATAAGTCTTACAAGTTCTCCCAAATACAGGCTGCTGATCATCTTCTCAAACCTGGAATGGGGCACAGGAGGGATGACAGGTGTTCACCAGCTACTCTCTTTAGCCCTCCACAGCATCACACCAGAGGAACCACCTACTTTTAGGAACACATAGCAACCACAGCAGCAATCCCTTTGCCTGAGGCAGAGAGGTGTGAAAGGTGCCCACTCTCCCCAGAAGGGAAAGGTCTGGATAGGACAGGATGAGGATCAAGTCAACTCGTGTTCACTTAACCCAGTTCTTGTTCCAAAGGGGCTCCTGGCTTATGCTGGAAACACACTCAGAGAGCTTGGACTGCTGAGACCAATCAGTCAGGGAATCACTTACAATTGTTTTCCGGGGTTGAGAGATCCCAGATCGAGCTCCCGATCAAACTCTGTGCGGAGGTCATCCAAAGCACCATCATCTCCAAAGGCCCCCCACTCTGTATTAATGCACATCCTCCCTTCATCCCCTTCCACCAGCTCGATGTGTCTCATCTCCTCCATGTAGCAGGCGTTGGTGCCAGTCCCTGTGGATGTTGGAGACAGAGTAGATGAATTGTTGTTTGTTACAGGTTTCCTTTTTGCTCATTTTAAGTGCACATGCTTGGGAATAAGTCAGCTTATTGTCTTTGGGAGAAAATATGAACACATAACCTTGTGGTACAGGATACTAGTGTCAAATCATTTCACAGTTAGTGAAAAAAAACCTGGAAATTATTCTAGGGCTTAACTTGTTTAAAAACATTTGTTTCTTTTTCAAATATACTTCTGTGTGCCTTAAAAAGCCATCACAGTGCACAAAATGGAGAAACAGCTGATCCTAACTACCAGGCAGTGAGAGGAATTCAGCTTTCCCTGGACAGGCACACAGCAATTTTCTATACAGTCAGCAGAAAAGTTTAGTATGCTGGTCACAAGTGACTCCAGACAAAATGGGGACCGTGGTATTTGATGGCAATGTGATCAGCATAAAAACAGCTGCTTTAGAGAAGGCAGCCAGGCTTGAAAATCTAACCATTGTTTTTTCTGTTTTCTTTCTGCTCTTTCCTGCACTGGAAAACTCCCTTCTGCCCCAGATTTGTTAGAATGAACCAAAAGTGGGGAAAAAACACTACTCAGTGAACAGAAAAAATTACCAATTATGAGTCCAACTTCACAGCGCGGGTCATCATATCCACAAGTCATCATGGTTCCCACAGTGTCATTGACCAGTGCCAAGACTTCAACATCTACGTCCTAACAGCATAAAGATGGGTGATTAAAAGGAAAAAAACCTTAGGAGTATCTAAAGCCACAGCATGCAGACACATCCCCCAGACTGCCAGTTGGAGGCCTGGTCCAGAGCAGCTCCTCAGCTGAAAGACACACTACTTCCCTTCATAACACTGTTCCCACAGCCCTGTAAAACAACAAGTATCTGAATTCTCAAGTGCTTGACCAGCCAGGGTCTTTGCTTGCAGGGTTTGTTTTTCCCACATCCAGCCAAAGGGGATGAAAATACACGTACGAAGTATTAAAGCACAAAGGTACACACTAGTTCAAGGGCAGATTTGATCATCTTTCTGCTGACCTTAAAAATCATAACCAATCACTCCATTCCACAGACTGAAGTGGACAGGCAGCTCTGGCAGAGTTAGGTGTGCCAGTTTGAGATGCTAGTTTCCCTCTCCCCACCTGCATCTCACAAGCCAGGCTGGAAACACAGTGTGTGAAACTCCTGAGATTTTTGTATCTCACTCGATAGTTTCACAGCAGATTCCCTGTAGGTCAGACAGGGGGCCCAGCATGTTGCTGTGCATGTCTCCTTCCAGCCCCAAGAGAGACACAGGTCCACCAGAGACACATCCATATTGGACAGCTGTTACTGGCTATCCTTGAAGGATGCCTGACGACTCCCAAAAGAACCCACACACCAAGAGCTGATCTCCCAGGAGGACAATCTGAGGTGACTCAGGTTCAACTCCTGCAGGTGCAAAACTTGCCTTATGCTTCTGGAGGGCCTTGTGCAGCGAGCTCACCACATCTGTGTCCTGAACTCCTCGGACCTTGAAGTGTTTCGTCCAGGCAAGAAGAACCCCCTGAAACGTAAGAGTGCAGTGACCCAAAAGCTCCAGCTTTAGCACACAAACTGCTACAAAGCAAGCCAAGCCCAAAGGATAAGCCCACGATGTCTCTCCACGTGTTGAAAATGGGCCAAAAAAAAATCACAGCAGGACATCTTACCTTGGGGTACCTGTCAGCACCAGCACAACTAAATGGGTCCAATCATAAAGTCCCAAATCTGCAAATGCTTTTCCCTGTGCTTTGTTTAAAGCATACGTGGCTTTCCCAAAGCTCACCACAGACTAATGGCATCAAGCACAAAGCACTTGTGAGACTGAGAGCACACATCCCTAGGAATAAAAGAGAGGCTAGAAAGAGAACACGCAGTAATCACAGCCAGCCCTTCACTTCCCCACACAGTCTCCCAAACAGCTCAGCTACAGGTCTTTCCTACTTAGAATCAACTGCAAAAGAGAAACAGAAAGAGAGTGATTAGACAAAGACTGTGCCTCAGGACACAAAAGTATGTATTTCACAGCCTAACAGTCTTCATTCAAGGGCACATGGTACTGTGGAATTGGGTACTGATTAAGTAAAACAATAGCTTTAACTTAGAGATCATGTTGCCTTGAAATCAAAATGGGTATTTGAATGGTAGTCAAGCTAGTCAGATGTTAATGGATGTCTGTGCCTTCGTCAGGGAGCAATGTGAATGTGACCTCACCAAAACATCACAGGAAACACTCCCATGCAGTAGCTTCTCCTGATTCTGCAAGGTGCTTGGCTTGACAATAGTATGTCTTTATGCATCTTACCTCTTCCAGTTTGGTCTGTTTGCATGGAAAAGAAAATGTAAAGCCAAGAGGTAACTTCTTATGCTTCAAGTTTTTGGTCGCCATGAAGTCTAACAGACAGTCAGCAACGTAATCAAAGAGCTACACAAGAGAGGAGAGAGCAGAGTCAGGCTGTGTCCTGCAGGCAGGCACTCCAGCACAGTACAATGCAGGAGACCCTGCATGCCTCACCTCGGCTCCGTTTCCCTGTGTGACCTCCTTGGGTGTGGGGTAAAACTTGCTCTCCAGCTGGCTGCTCTGCTTCCCATCATCAAACACCTTCACCTGGTGGGCACGGAACTGGGAGCCACCCAGGTCAACAGCAAGGAAGTCACCCTTCTCTGCAACACAAGCAGGAAAACATTGCTGCTGGCCAAGGAGCGTGGCCCAGGTGCCGTGCTGGAGGCCACGGCCCAGCTCCCTCCCTCACCACAGCCATGGGCTCCTGTGCCCCATTAGGGCAGGTCCTTGTCCTACAGGCCTGAGAGCATCACCAGGAAGGCTGAAAGCTAGAAACCCTAAGCCAGGGTATTGGGTCCCTTCTGTTAGCTTGGTTTGTGACAGCTAATTTAATTTTCTTTTAGCAGTCTGGGTTTTTCCACCTTGCTCCTTCCACAGCAGCACATTTTCAAGCTGCAGAAGGATGAGCAAAGCCAACCAGAGCACACAGAGACTGCAAACCCATCATATGAAACATGGGGGGAGTGTGAGAGCAGGTATCTATGTCCAGTAAAGGATGTGGGATTTGCAGTCACATGTCAGGACTCAGCCCTGCTGCAGAAGTCAAATTCCAGGTAAGACAAGGCTAACTTGCCACTCAAAGTCAACAAACACAATCCTTTCCAAATACCTTTGGGTGTTTGGGTAAAACAACATTCTGTTTCTCAGCTAGCAAGCACTCCTAGCTCAAACACTTCCTCCTCCAGCAGGAAACCTCAGTTGGAAGGACAGTTGGCTTCGCTGCTACAATAAAACAACTGTTTATCCCACGCACAGGAGAAGGCCCTTCTCAAAAGAGAAATGCAGTCCCATGGTCAGGTAAACAAAGGTAAGGAGGCAAATTGGGTTACTCAGTAAGCTGCAACATTAGTCAGATCATTAAGCCCTAAATGATGGAAAACCGCAGCAGGAAACCTCAGTTGGAAGGACAGTTGGCTTCGCTGCTACAATAAAACAACTGTTTATCCCACGCACAGGAGAAGGCCCTTCTCAAAAGAGAAATGCAGTCCCATGGTCAGGTAAACAAAGGTAAGGAGGCAAATTGGGTTACTCAGTAAGCTGCAACATTAGTCAGATCATTAAGCCCTAAATGATGGAAAACCGGCTCCATGTAGGTAAGGAGGCAAATTGGGTTACTCAGCAAGCTGCAACATTAGTCAGACCATTAAGCCCTAAATGATGGAAAACCAATGATGCTCCATGTGAGTCATTTCAGATAGGAACAACAACAGATACTGAAAAAATCTGAAAGTTCATTGCTGTTGCAAATGGGAAAATCCAGCCAAGTTTGAGGTGTTTGAACCTGCTAGAAGTTTTGTCTGGAAGCAAAATAACCAACACGGATGTTTCAAGAGAGCAGAAATAGCAAAACCAATGTGATACTTCAAGTAGGCAGAGAGTCAGTAAGTAACAGCCCAGCTTGATACTGCAGCACGTCCTTGTCACAGCAGAAAGGTCACACAGCCCAGAGGAGCATTGTCCAAAGTTGGCATTGAGGAATATTAAGTCTTGCTGCAGTGATGACACTAAATGCAATTTTTCAAGTCTCCTGACCTCAGGGGCTCCCTGCTATGTCAGGACAGGGTCAGTGCCACATGCGACCTCAGGACCAGTGACGGTCACTGGGATCACAAGGGTTAAGAAAGTACTTCTTTCTCTTTGATGAAGGCAGCAGCAAAAGGAAGAGTGCTCACTTCCACCCAGGCAGTTTGGATGTAATTTCTCTCAGACATGCCTCATTTCAAGGGACTTGCCTCCAAATATTCCCTTCATGCTACTAAAGTTATTTCTCATTTAACTGCAGGGAAATTACTTTCACAAGGAGTAAAGTCCTGTGGAAATGAGGTACAAAGCTAACAATTCTCTTAGGTTTTCTGCACAGCTGTTATACACTGAGTCCTTACTTAGGCCAGACACAGAGTCCTGCACAAATTCATCCGGTTAAATGTGGAAAAAAATTCGTTTTCTGTCAGCCTGCACTGGCAGGAGCCAGCTGATCCAGGAGAGTTGGTTTGGATGGGCATATTTCTCCAAACAAAATGGGCTTTTAGATCCTCCCAGAGGACACCACTGCATTTCCTCCCTCACTGTTTAAGTTTCAGGAGCAACTGGAAACAAGGATCCATCTGAAGAAACAGAGCAGATTTTCCCAAAGCAGAAGGCAAAGAAGAGCAAAAGGAGATCACTTTTGGGGGTCATTAGAAAAAGTAGTGCAGAGTTTTCTGCCAGAAGTCAAGAAGGGATCACAGCTCTGAAAAGAGTGTTGCTGTCACGCTGCACTTTGAGGGGTTTCACTGTGGCATCCTGCCCTCCCTGTAGCCCCAGGGAGGACAGGGCCCTGCCCCATGTCCCACACCTGCAGCACATTGCACTGCAGGCTCTGAGCTGTAGAGGCTGCCCTTGCCATGTCCAGCCACAGCTCCTACAGCAAGGCCTGCACCAGGAGCAGCCACTTTGCAGATGAGAGAGGCTGTTTCTGAGCACTTACTAGGCCTTTCCACAAACAAGCAGCACTAGGTCAAGATCCACCTGGTGCAAGGAAAAAACTCCCAGCACTCGCCCAGAGTGTTGTCTCCTCAATATACACCTGCTTTCCCAAGCAGATGGGCAAACCCAAAGCCACTGGCTGCCCTGTGTCTTTGCTATGCTGTCCTTGAGCACTGGCAGCAACTCATCATCTTCCTAAACGAGCACTGCTGTGCTGGAGCAGGAGGAGTTTACCTGAGCCATCAGGAAGAGAGCGCACAAACGATGGCAGCATTTTCACTGCTGCTGTGGGATTCGTGTCTCTCCCCAGGCCCTTCACCATCTCTGCCTGGAAGCGAGCCAGCACATCCAGCAGGACATCGTCCGAGAGGCGCAGGTGGTACAGGTACCTGTCAACCTGCAAAGAGGAAAAGTGTTACTTGGGAGGCATCGTGCTCCTCAGTGCTGAGCCACTGCCTGGGATAGCATGGCTGCCACACCACAGGAGGACTCATGGGGAGGCTTCCTTCGTCTCTGCGAGCAGAGAAAACACAGGAACTTCACAGCCTTCACTTGCACTAGTTTTCTAACCACGAGGGGTGCAGTACGACATGAATGATCTGAAGATCCCGAACTTCAGTTCCAGCAGTGCTGCTGCATTATGCTGGGCAAGATTTGCTATGCTCATTCCCACCCCCTGAATGGACATTAGGCTAAACAGATCCCAAGGAGACAAAAGAGTTCCTCTTGCACACGTAACAAACCGAAGGTGAGCACACAACCTCTCAAACCCTGATTCCACCAGCTCATTTCATTTTGACTTCAGCACCTAACTTCCCATGACTGTCAGTGCAAGCAAGCTCCAGGACATCAGAGCATTTGCTCTTCCAAAAACTATTTTGAGTATGTTTAATACAGCCTTGATGAATTACTGTCCAAAAACTGGCCACTTTTCTGATGGCTCAGTAACTCACCAACATACGTAAGCCCATGAGACTTGCTAGAGTTCTTGACAAGCTGATTTTACAGCACACTCTCCTCCTATACATGTAATGAACTAGAACTGCAAACTGGCTAGATCTCGTGAGTCAGGTGTAGAAAATGCCATTGGTACGTACCCAAGCATGTCAGCCACAACCCCAAAACATCTATTCAGCTTCACTCCACAGAAAATGAATTTTATTGGCATGCCAGGCTGGAGCTCAAAGCCTTCTTCTCACTCCAGGTCTGCCCTCCATTCTCTTGTGATTCTAGGATTACCCTAAAACACATCTTTGGGTGCAATCAATACCCTTTCTTAAGGATCTGTAACTCACAGCATACATCAAAATAAGAGCCAGCTGAACTTAGAGCAAATCAAAAGTATGTATGAAGTAGCAGAGCCTCATTCAGATAAACTGGCAAAGAAGATAATCAGTGTTTATTTACAGCTCCATAAGGGCAAAATTACAGGTTTTCTCCTTGAGGACCATGTGCTGCTGAGAGTGACATTTACCTGCAGGGCTGTAAGTAACATGGCTTAGGAACTATGAAGGATTCATGCAGCAAAATCAGCATCTGTCAAGATCCAGAAGCTTTTCCACTGGGGACTCAGACTTTGGTGCTCTATGAGCATGATGCAGGCACCTAAGTGTGTGCTGCAAATAGCTGGATGTCCCTGAAAGGCAATTCGTGTCCACATCCCAATCCCCACAATGCAGGGTTCAGGGACAGAGGTGGGACAGCTTCCAACACTTGCTTAGTTGCAGACACTGAACTCCTTCACCACAGGCTATGTTGTAATGCTGCTTTTTCTGTTCGGAGCATTTCATCAGTCCCATATACACAGAGAGGTCTGGAGGGTTGGGAGAACAGGCACAAATCAAGTTCCACCAGCAACAAGGCAGGAGCTAAAAGACTGCATTGTTTAATAAGGGGAGTGCAGGTTGTAGATAAATTGCCCTCTGCTGCCATTTGGACTGGCCACCTACAGTAATGACTCACCTGGAAGCACCCTGAAAGCCATTCCAGCACTTACCTAACACACACAGATGAGAAGTGTTGCAGGATGCAATTGTCCAAGTAGCTGCCTTTGGATACAGCTGTGCCTCGAGAAGGCCATTATTTAGATCTGTCTTTGTAGCCCTGTTTGCACAAGCACTTGATTTCCTCCAAGGGTTTTTTGAGGCCCCACCACTGAGTAGGATACACTATCTCAGCCCATGCACCCATACTGCTTTTTAGGAGGAAATACAGTGGCTGGAGACGTACAGCACTCACGTGCTCTGACACAGACCCAAAGAACCTTGTGACAAAAGTCCCTGTCTAAAACAAACCTCAGGAGCAATAAAATTTACCATGTCTGTTTGCAGGCAACATGTACTAGCTCCCTACTCCCCACAGAAACTGCATTCCCCACTCTGTTTATCTACAACCACAGGAGCAGGGAGTCCTCTCCAAGGAGACAGGCTCTGCAGCCTGACTTACAACCAGAACAAGGCCCTGCCCATATACCATTGGCTTGTAAACACAGGAATGGCCAGGCTGGGAGACACCAAACTCACTGCCACCCTCCCAGGGCACAAGGACAGTCCTTGCTTTTAAGTGCCTTGCCTCAACTATGGAAACAGCACAGCTTTCGTGGCAGAGAGGCTCTTGTTCTTGCCAGCACAGAGTAAACGAGCCTGGGGAGGGGGAGGTGGGAAGGCCTTCCTCTTCTCTCATTAGGAAGAAACCAATTCTGTTCCATACAGCCTACCCTAGGCTCCTCAAAAGAGACGTCTGAGGAGCATGTGGTTTCTTGTCTTCAGGAAGGACTAGTTGGCACCTACCAGGAAGACTGGCTTTGCTAGAATTCCTCTGCCCTGTCCTCCCTTCAGGGAAGTCCTCTCTCACCATCCCCCTGGATGTTCCTCTGAAGAGCCTGCTCCACCCACACACTGCTCCACAAGGGCTTTCTCTTTCTTAGGGGAAAAGTAAGAAGGAATAGCACGGTCTAGATGAGAGATCTTAGATCAGATCCTCACACGAGGAAGGGACATTAGGTCCCTTTCTGATCACATTAAACCCTGGGGATAAAAGGGTTATGACTGAGTCAGAGAGAGCTGACTGTTGAGACACCAGCAGTACCTCTCTTGTAACGCTGCTCTCCAAGCAGCATCAGTGGATGAAGCCCTCTGAAGAACAGGCCACTCCACGTTTAGGGCACAGAGAACCCTTGCTTTGCTTTGCTGATGAGCTCAGCAGTGCAAGCAGATCTGTACCTTGGCACCTCGGATCTCCTGCCACAGATCTGCAGACAGCCCTGCCTCTAGCTGGCTGGAAAACCAGGGGGCAGAGCCTGGCAGCGATGGGCACTCAATGGAGACTCTGGGAGCACGGACAGCCTGCAGGGAACTAGTCTAGAAACCAGAGGATCTCTGACCCACGGAGTTCACAGGTCCCATGTGCTCTTAGGATGGGCATGAGCCCAGAGCCAGTTCCAGCATGGCCATGCAAGTAGACTAGGGAAATGCAACCATTAGGCAGCTCACTCCCAGAACTGATGGCTTCAGTTCTGGGACATCTCAAGCTTTTCCAACTGCAATTAAAGGTCACATTTATAAGAGTGATTAGCCAGGTTTGGACAACCAGAGAGAAGGCACAGGCACTTCTCCCACACCAACACTAGCTGGAAATGTCTTGAGTCCCAGCAGACCTGGCCCATAGGAGTTCTCCCTATCCCTGCTACAATGTGAGTGACTCTTGAATCCTACTCAGCCTAAGAAATCCCATCCTTCACACTGCACTTGTAAAGTGACTCACCAAGAAGTTCCTTTCTGCCCTCTGGACTACACACCATCCAGATAAAGTACAAAGCACTTTTCCATACTGAAGATCATTTGCTCCATCACTGGAAGAGATAACTGTGCAGGGAAAAGCACTAACCAGGCCTATTTTCACACTCATCAAGTGCTCTAGGGTCCAAATACCTCTTACTGCATTTGGCTGACTGGCTGCAGCAGAGAATGCAGTTACACAGCCTGCAGGACATACCACAGACCCTGCCGTACCTGGGTACACAGCTCTCAAAACAGGGGTCAGCTGATGCTGCATCTTACCTTTTTTATCTGATCCTCTTTTAGCTTTGTGAAATGGAAAGCTAGCAAGTGGATGGCAAACATTTTCCTGAAGCGGATGGATGAGCCAGGAGTGACAGAGCTGCTGTGAGTAACTCCGAAGCGACAGGTCCTTATTCACAAAGCTGGAGCTAGAGAAACTTCAGCTGAGGCATTTCTCCCAGGGTGGAATAGTGGAGTTCCTGGGAAACTGAGTCCAGAAATAAATCCATCCAGCGTGATCAGTTCAGTGATTAAACTTCTGTCTCTTTGCATCACCCCCACATCAACCCAAAGTCCCTCCCTCCCCAGCTACACACTTCATTGTGCCAGAGCAGGCACCTGGAGAGCTGCCAAGCCCAAAGGGAGAAAAATCGATTTTGTTACTGCCCGACCTGGGAATAGTTAGCACTTCCAAGTGCAGTTGCTAAGCAGCCTGCCCTGCTCGCTGCTTCCCTGCCGGCGGCTGCCCCTGCGGTGCACAGCCAAGTGCTGCACGGGGCTGTGCAGGGGATTCTAGGAGGCTTCTTGCCTCTGCTCAGCGCTCTCACTCGCGCATGAGTGCTGCACACTGCACCCTTATCTGCAGCTTTTTACCCACTAAGCTTCAGCTGTGTAAAGGAGCAGGCACACACAGAGACCCCTGCTCCCAGCTGGAATGCCTCTTGCACAATTCCCGGCAGAGAGGTTGTGGACTGGTTATTCTCCTTTCACGCCTCCTGAAGACAGTTTCAGACCGATGAAGATCCTCAGTCCTGCAAACCCTGGGGAGGGGAGAGATTTACCTGGCAGCTAGCAGTGTGGTTATCAGACTGCCTCACTTGTAGATGCCTTTAACTGGCAACACAGAGTACTTACAGCAAGAGCAGCTTTCTCATACAATCAGAATTTGTCACAGCCTTTAACCGTTACCCTCAAAAGTTCATTCTGAATACACAAGTGATTCCAGGAATTTGCCATTGTATCAAGTGATACGGACTATGGAAACATCATCCAAAGGAAACTGGCTGAAAAGCTGACACAAAGGACAGAAACAGAGAAAGTAAAAAAAGATACTCTCACGGGGTAATTAGAGGCTCGCTCTCAAACTACACCTACATACTGTGTTCCCCCCCAGCCACTGCTCAGCTGAACTGAGCACACTTGCTGCACTGGCAGGCAAATGCCACCTGAAATTTTGCAGACCGGGAAAAAGACGGAGACAGAAAGGAGGAGGGGAGTACCAAGCAATGCGAGGAAACACAAAGAACTACTGAGCCATATAAAATTGTCTAGAGATCCAGAGCAGGGCAGAGACAGCCACCTGGCAGGAAAGGATGTCTTGGGCTAGAGTGGACCCAACCATCTCAGGATACTGTAACAACAAAGTACAACCGACCACTATGGTGGGCTGTACATACAGGCACACAGAACAATACTCAACTCCATACACAATACCAGTCACGGGGACAGGACTCTCCCCAATCCTGGCAGCTGTGGCATGGATCAGGAGGAGTTAGCTCTGCTGAACATCAGGGGCAGTCACAGGTCACATTTTTTCAGCCTCTGATCACAAGGAAAGACTGGAAGAGCTGAGGGAGGGGAACTCCCTCTGTAGAGACAAATTATACAGAATCTCTGCTAAGAAAATTTTTGGGGTTTTTTTCTCTCCTGCCTTGCATCAGGGATGAGCTCTGGACACTGGGAGATCCTGCCAGCTCTATTTATTTTCCACTATTCTGGAACAAGAGCAAAGCAGACAGAGTGGCTGAGCAGTCCATAAATAGGGCTTGTTCTAAAATTAGGCCTTTGATCTTCGAGAGAAAGGGAGAAAAGAAAGAAGAAAAAAGCCACGCTAGCAGCCAGAAAGCACGGTTCACTTCTCCTCTATTCATCTTTTAATAACTGTTGGCTCGTTAAGTCAGACACTGACTCTCCTCATTGTTTACCCATGCCATCCGAGTCACAACGCCTCTGGCCAGCAGAATTGAAAACATCACCTTTCAAGCTCCATCCCACTTTGATCCAGAGCTCATTGTGTCTGTAATACAGTAGATTTATTTTTCATTCTCTCTTTTCTTTCTTTCTCTAACGGATGCCACTGGAAAAGGGTCTCAAAGATCCAAATGCTCCTAAACTGGCAGCAAGCTCTGTGAAATACCTGACGTGTCAGAATCACTGTGTAGCTTGTTTGCTCATCCCCGGTGCATCCTAGCTTCCGGCAGGCTGGAGTGCAAGAAAAGGCAGGACATTATCTCATTTCCACACAGACAGCAGTGCAATGCACCAAGGGCCCAACACCCAAAAATGGCAGAGCCATTTTATACATATCCTGGCCAGTACAGCAGAACCAATCCAGGCCCAAGCAAACAGATCAGCCTCAATCACATGCAGCTTGGGGGCTTGAGGTAATGCTGGTTTTCCCCTTTGTCAGAGCTGCATCCAATAAAAGTTATTCACTAACCTTCCCTTTGCTCTTTCCAACAGCCAACAAGACTTCAAAATTGTAATAGAGTCTCTCTACTTTCTTTTCCTGCAGCTCTCCCACCAAAGTCCATCTCAAGGCACAGCGGAGAATCCTCAAGGTCTGGTAGGCGCCTGCCTCCCACAGCCCTGCAGTCTGCACCTTGCACCTGCAGAGGAAAGGACCTGACAGCTACAATGGGGAAATTCACATCTCAAATACATCAGCTAAACACGCACCAGTTCCCTTCAGAAAGAGGTACCGCACTGGTTAGCACTTTATCGCGGAAGAAACGCATCTCTCTGGTGAGAGCTCAAAGGCAATGGCAACACTGGTTGCTAAGTCTGATATCCAGGTGGACAAGGAGACAGTGGACAAGGCTACGAGCGAGTCACCAGGAGAAATCCTTCTTTGTTACAGCTTATGATTCCAAGACTCGCCCTTAAAACACGTTTCTCCCCCCAGTAGCAATTCCGCCCCTGCCTAGGGCAACATCAGGCAGCAAAGTAAGGCAGAACACCTGGGGGGACTGAGTGGAAAATCCAACCCAAGGACAGACATTTGGCTTAAGAGACAGAAGGCTTTTACCAAGCAGTGCTGCTATAATCAGCATTTTACAAATAATAAACTTCAAAACAGCTCTACCTTGAATGCCTGAAATTAATCTGGAAATCTGAACACGTGAAATTGTTTTGCAAATGATTCCCAGATCAAGTGAACGATGTTGTTGATGTTGCTCAGAAATCGTTTCAGCACATCAAAAATGGGCAGCTGGGATAGCTCTGCCCCACACCAGTCCAGACTGTACCACATGGGACCCATCTGGCAGCCATTCTAATGAGAATCAATGACAGCCATACCATCAGCTCTGAAGAAAACTTTCATAAAGTCAGCCTGGAAACGCCTGAATAAACTTCAGAGCTCCCAGTACAGTTACTATGGAGTCACTATGGGAACAAGCAACGAGTTAAGCCAAGTGCTAATCTCAGCAAAACACGAAAAAGTATGCTTCTAGTCATTTCACTTCCTTATTGCATGGTTTGCTGCTCAAACACAAGGCTGGCTCCCACCCCCAGGTCTGAACACACTTTCCTTGCTCCAAACTACACACTAGTACACAGCTCTGCATATAATTAAAGGATAAATCTGGCAGAACAGACTGGAAATAAAGCACAGTAACACTGAGTCTCCTGCAACCCAACCCCACGTGCACCAGGGAGACAAAACAGAGGAAATGTCTTTGCACAAGGTCGTTTTAAACAGTGGTTTGCAGATCCAGCCTGGACTGTCCAGTCCCAGAGGTATACGGGACAATGAACGTGGTCAAAATGTGGCTTGAGCAGTTACAGGCTCCCTTTGAGTGAGTCGAGTGCCAAGGAATGTGGAGGAACTTGGTACCCCTCAATCACATAACCCATGCCACACGAGTTATGTGAACAGCAGCAAACAGAACACATTTGTAAGGGTTAACTGCAGGCTCTGTGCAAGTTGTGTTGCTGTTCAGCACAGGCTGGCAGAGCTCTTGGGAAAGCAGAGTCAAGGTACTCATCTACAAAGCAAACAATCCACAACATGCACATGGCCATTGGTGCACAGAGCTGCTTGGTTCTTCTTGGGGGAAGAAAGAAATATGGGGCTTTGCAGGGGAAGGACCTAAACCTCCCTCTTCCCATCAGTCCTGTACTGAAACCAGAACACATGGACTAGACACATTCAAGGCACTGCTTGCTTTTTAGTCAACAATGAGGAAAGAGTACATGAAATACTCCGAAAACAGCTGCTAAAAACATTTTTCAACATACTGCAGACCTGTTGCTGAACAGCAGCACAAAGGATTGATACAAGGAGGAAAAAAAGGGGATTCAAAGCAAACTTTCAACCTGCAGAAACACACGGTTTATCATTTTAGGAAGTCAGGTGTTTGGTACAGTGAAACCCAACCTGGCTTTTACAGGCATCCCAACATTAACACAAGAAGGATCTGTGCACACCTGTACACAGCCAACCCTAGAAATATGGTCACTGTAGCATTTTTCTCCTCAGACAGCCCAGCAATATATCCCAGCACCAGAACCCACTCCTGGGAATACACAGCAGGTTCTGCAGCATCTGTGCTAGGAGGTCAAGAGCACACCTTAGAGCTGCTCACTATAATCACAGAGCACCTGCATGTCTGTAGAAGAGACACAGCCTGGTGATGCACTGCTTTAAACACTGTTCAGTGACAATACGTCGGGAAAATAAGTCCTTTTCCCAAGGACCTAGTTCCAACAAATTAAACCTTCCTCTACGTGGTAAGCACCTAACTTTTACAGCTCATGACAGCCACCACAGGCATGTGGAAATACCATTAGCACAAATGTTGAGGAATGTAAGTATCAGCCCACAAGCTGTTCCTTCACTATAAGCTATCGTGCAAGCTAAAGTGAAACATTTCACACCTCCTCTCAAAATTCAGGTACCACAACTGGCACCTGAAGCACAAAGAGCATTTATGAAGTGCAACAGAATAAAATAATGTGTGAAACAGACATCTCAACTTCTCAAAAGTAAATAAATTATACCTCCAAAAATCATAATCCAATTATCTGGGGTTTTTTCCTCCCCCCCAAATTCACCTGAG